GCGGGAAGCCTGCTTCTCCCTCTCCCACTCCCCCTGCTTTTGTTCCTCCCTCACTGTTCCTAAAAAAAAAAACCTAAAAAAAAAAAAAAAAAAAAAAAAGTGGTCCTCTCAACCCTGGCTACAGGACGGATTGCTCAGCAAGTAAGAAATGGGACTTGGAATCCAGACTCCTTTGTCAGGACCCTTCCTTAGGGCCAAAGTCCTAAGAACCACCTATGGAATATTCTCTGTCACTGTCCCTGATTCTACGGATACAATTAAAAGACCGATGCTCCATAAATCAAGTCCGTCTAAAACACACAGTTGTAGCCAGTTCCCTCTCGTAGGTTTGTGGGGCTTTTTTGTTTTGTTTTTCTGGCCTCACTGTACTGACAGTACCAGGAGAGTTTTCTGTGTGTTTAGGATCCCAACGGCCCTAATGGTCTACTCGCCACGTTAAACAAAAAACCATACTAAATAGCCAAACGAAAAAAAGAGGTAAGACACAAACCAGCTCAAGGGAAAAATTAGCCTTTGGCTTTGGTAAGTAAACACTGATTTAAATAAAAGATGATTTGGTTGGGACGCCTCGGTGGCTCAGTCAGTTAAGCGGCTGCCTTCGGCTCAGGTCATGATCCCAGGATCCTGGGACCGAGCCCCACATCAGGCTCCCTGCTCAGCAGAGAGCCTGCTTCTCCCTTTCCCTCTGCCTGCCGCTCTGCCTACTTGTGCTATATCTGTCAAAAAAAAAAAAAAAAAATCTTGGGTGCCTGGGTGGCTCAGTTGGTTAAGCGACTGCCTTCGGCTCAGGTCATGATCCTGGAGTCCCAGGATCGAGTCCCACATCGGGCTCCCTGCTCAGCGGGGAGTCTGCTTCTCCCTCTGACCCTCTTTCCTCTCGTGCTCTCTGTCTCTCATTCTCTCTCTCTCAAATAAATAAATAAAATCTTTAAAAAAAAAAATCTTTAAAAAGATGATTTGCTTTCCCAATCCCTCACTGATCCTTCCCTTTGTCACAAAACCTAAGCAACACTGAGCTGAGATGTTCTGTCTGTAGGATCATCAGCAATTTCAATAGTGAAAATGCCAAAAGGCAAGGAACAGCATCTCCTGCTTCTAAGGACCGAGTAGGGCACTGGTTACCTATGGGGAGACCAGACCAAAGGGGCCAAAGCCCCAGCCAGAGGAAGCCTGAGCTGGCCAAAGAGAGCTTACTCAGTTCAACTGAGTATTTGCCCTTCACTTTCTGCCATAATAAATACCCACTTTGATCACCTCCCACTCACAAACCAATTACGTAACTTCCCTGATTTTGGTGGCATCCCCCTCGGCTCCCACCAAAACATGACTACCATCTCCAAAGCAATGGGTCATAAACAATGGTCTCCAATCTCAGTGAGGTTCCAAATGTTCAGCTGTCCCCTTTTTCCCTTGGGAATTATACTGACTTAAGTCCTTGATGAGTCCTGGAAGAATGTCACCCTCCAGATTTCTGTGAGCTAATCTCAAAGAGACAACTTTAAAAGGTAGAAAGCTTCCTTCCACCCAGCACCATAGATGCTTAAAATATGCTCCATGGGCTCCTTCTTACTTGTCCCTATAAATTTAGCCTCTTAACAAATCAAGGGATTTTTTTTTAAAGATTTATTTATTTTAGTGGGGAGAGAGAACACAAAGTGGGGAGGGGGACAGAGAGAGACTCTCAAGCAGACTCCCTGCTGAGTGGGGAGCCCGAGAGGCCTGATCTCACAACCCTGAGATCATGACCTGAGCCGAAATCATGAGTGAACCGACTTAGCCACCCACCTGTCCCAAACCAAGGGATTTTTATGTCTTTTTAGACACAAAATGTGGTTGAAGAAAATTCAGAAGAGTGTTATGACTGGTATAACCAGAAAAGTGACTGCTGTGGTAGAAGACAAAGGTAATTAACAGAAATCTAAGTTTAGTTCAGAGACTAATTATCAGAAATAATACATTGTGGCCACACATCCTGTTAAGTGACAAAACAAATGAGACATTTTGCTACAGCTATCCCACTTAAAACAAACAAGACCCTATACAAAAAAGACAAGATAGTATGTGTCCCTGGAGAAGAAACTTGGAACACCATCCTGGTAAAGCCAGTCCATTCCATTATCAAGAGGGGTTTGGCCTACCCTAATGATATTTAAAAAAAAAAAAAAAACAAAAAACAAAACAAGGTATTGGTCTCATGTTAATAAACGCCACATGTTTATTAGTGAATCAGGAGATTTCTGACTCCAATGTCTCCGGAAACAAGATCTGCTATAAAGTTTAAAACCACAATGGCAGACTACCAGCTGACTCCAAAATCTACCCTCTCCTTCCTCCTGAGCAAGTGTGTACCCACTTCCCTTGCAGCTAGTGGCCACTTCACCTCACAAACCATGGGATGTAAGCAGGAATGATGTGTGCAACTTCTAAACCATTAAAACCTTACTTCGAGCTGCTTACTCAGCAGTTTCCTGTACCACCGCCCCTCACCACAGCCTGAAACATGGATAGCACATTAAGTCAGCTTCAACTATGCAGGTGAAGGCAACAACTGAAGGAATGGCGGGTTAATAAAGAACCTGGATCCCTGATTGATCTTGCGGAGCAGAACTGTCCAGCTAGGCTAGACTAGCCATACTGATAGGTGAGAAATACAAGTCTTCCTTATGTAAGCAAGCCACTGGGAGCTTCTAACCTTAGCTTGAGCTTTACTCATGTAACTAGTAATCCATCACGGTAATCCGTAATTAGTCTTAAGCTTGGGGGTTCCTATGTCTGCTCCCATTTATTTTCTCATCGCCTTAAAGAAAACAGACATACTTACTCCACTGCTTTCTTGTAGATTTCAATGGCCTTGTCCAAGTCTCCCTCCAGCAAGTGGATCTTCCCCAGCATTATGTAAGTCAAATCATGCCTGTTAAGATGGAGGGCATTGTGCAGCTGGTCTTGTGCCTAACAAGATTGATGGAGTAAAGAGAACCAAATCACTACCACAAAAGCACAATGGCTTGGTGTGGCTATTGTAAAGACAGAGCTCCTGCTGTACTCAGGCAGGAACATGACATCTCAGCGAACAGCCCCTACTACCCAAAAACACTACAACATACCAAAACTGCTTGATGACACAATAGCTGGCAACAGGTGTCTGCCTCTGGAGCCACGTGGGAGTTTTTTATACATGATGATTAACCTTTATGAGTGTCTTCTGCTTCAAAGGAGTGTCGTAGTACAGAATAGAGCACTGCCCTGAATTTGATCCCAGCTGCACCACTGATGAACTGCACTGCCTTCCCCAGGGTGGACCTCATTTTCCTCACCAATATTTTCATAAATGAATGAACGGACTGTTCTCCTTTATTCACTCAACATGTATCCATTGAGTACCTACTGTTCTAGGTACTAGGGATATGAGAGCTAACAAAACAAATTCCTTGCCCTGGAAGAGCTTTATTCTAATCGATGACCAAAAGGGCTTTAAGTCATTCATTGATTCAACAAGTATTTATATCAATGTCAAGTATTATATTTGTTAGCTTTACAGTAAAATATAATTCTCCTTCTTCTCAGTACAGGTCTGACCAAAGACCAATCCCACCTTTCCTGTGGCTCAGAATAATCCTATGAATAGAAATGTACTTGCTTGGAATATTCTCTGAGGAGAAAACTCTCCTAAGCAAGCATATAACACTACCCAGGAAACCTAAGGAGACCCATTAAAAATATAAGTTCTTACATGGAAAATAATGTTAAAAACAGTAACTGTCAGAAATCAGATCCACTTAAAACTTAAATTCATTTCCAATAACCTTAAAAACTAAAATCAGTTGCCGTCAGACCCTAAAATAGCTCACACAGTCATGATTACACTTTTAAGACCTAAGGGTTCACTTTTTGATATCTAAGTTTTATTGAACATTTGTTTCTATACTGGAAAATTACAGTGGGGATGGAAGAGAAGAGAGGAGAGAAGCGATTCAATTACAATTCCCTCATAATATTTCTAGAGTTTGTCATTTTCTTGCTAAAATCAGAAAAGAAAAAAAAAAGCAGATGGATGAAAAATGAGAATAAATACCAGGATAAATGTATGGCACTTTCAATTTTTGCTGCCAAGATCTCTACAAGCACTTCTCAGGAATGACGCACCACGAGCAGTGGCACCTCTGCAGCAAACACCCTCAGTGGGCTCCCCAGCCCGGCGCCCGACTGCCACCACCACTCCCACACCCCATACAGTACCTTACTGAACTGTTTCAGATAAATGTAGCACACTCCCACGTTGTGACAGATCTCCTACACACAGAAGAGAGTAAGACAGCACAGGTGTAAACCCCACAGTTACTATCGGAATGACATGACAGGCATCCAGACGGTTACTGTCTGGCAAAGCTTACATTTTAAGTGGCACTACAGGTAGTTTTTTACTAGATTTCATATTTAAATACATTTAATTCTATAAAATGGGCTCTTTAATATTAAAAATTCAGATTATAAGAGATAAAATCAGAATGAACAGGTGATCTTCCTGGATCTCAGCCCCAGGCCTGCCTTCTCTAAGAGCTGCCCCCTGCCCTCCTCTCAGAAGACACTGCCCACAGCCCCTGCTCCACCCCTAAGAGAGAGAGAGAGAGAGAGAGAGAGAGAGAGAGAGAGAGAGTGTGTGTGTGTGTGTGTGTGTGTGTGCCAACTAGATTCCTTCTCCTAGGAATCTGGGATTTGACCAGGTGGTGTGGACTCGGGGACTGACAACAGCATCTGGAGGCCACTGAGGCGGAATACATGTCATTGAAGCCAATCTGCTGAAGTCTACAAACCCTGGCCCACAGGCCAAATCCAATCTCTGCTTTTCTTGTAAATAAAGTTTTACTGGAACACAGCCACGACCACTTGTTACACAATGCCTACAGAACTTTCACACTAGAACTTTAGAGTTAAGTAGCTGCAGTAGAGACTATATGAAGCCACAAAGCTTAAAATACTCACTAGGCCCTTTACAGAAAGTTTGCCAACCGCTGACCTACAAAAAGAAAAAACTGAAGCAGAAATGCAGAGTAGCTACCTTGGTTACTAACAGCTTTCCAGCTCTAGTTCACCTTGAGTTCTATAGAATCTCTCAAGTTCCCTTATATTGAATCTCCCTTTATTAGCAGTAGCTTCAGACAAAGAAGGTGCTCTATGGAAACAGTGAGGACTTTTTGTTAGTACTGGAGAGGTGTGGAAGCACATTTAGACCCAGAAGTGTCCCTGTCTGGCAAAACACGGACCCCAGGGCTCAGAGACAAATGGTTTAAAATGTGTTCCAAGTCTCCTAAAATAACAAAATAGGGATCATTGATGGAGTACCTACTTCACATCAGGCTCTATGCCAGATGGCTTTCATATATGTTACTTTAATTTCCCCAGCAAATCTGAAACACAGGTATAACAATTCTGATTTGAGAGAGAAGAAAATTGAAGGTCAGAGAGGTTAAGTAGTTTGCCTAACTTGAGACAAAGTGTCAGCACTAGGATTTTTTTAGGTCTAAATCTTCAGAAGAATTTCAACTATACATAAATGTAGACAGAAACACCATGGACTCATCACTCTGTCCCAACAACCATCCAATCCATACTCCCATCTACCCCACTACTTGACAAAATGCCAGCTAGCATAACATCCACAAACGTTTCATTATGTATTTCTAAAGGATAAGGTCTTTTTTTTTTTTAACCGACCTACAGTACCATTATCATACCTGGAAAAAAAAATAACTGCTTATATCAGACACTGAGTCATGTTCAAGAAGCATAAAACCCACAAATTTTTTTCTTAAATCACAATCCAAATAATGTCCACACACTGCAAAGCACTGGGACTTGAACTCAGGCCCGCCTCCAAAACTTGTGTCCTTTCCATTTATCCTTAACAATGTACACAGGGAGCTAGAGAGGAGAAATGTATCCATGCTTGCCCTTTAAGTGCCCTAAAGCTAACTAACCCCTAACTCTTTAAAAATCATTTGTTCCCACAGATATTACTTGAGAAGGCAGCAGCAACAGCCCTCAAACAAACTGATGACAAAGGAAATTTGAAAAGGAAAACAGAACAAATAAGAGTTAAATTGTGTCTTTCACAGAATGAGGGAATCCAGCAGACATCCTGCAAAAGGCAGCCGGAGAGTGGAAGAATCACAGGCCTAAAGTGAGGAATCTCAGAGTCTAGGCCTGAGTCCTAGCTCTGGTTCTGCCACCACCTCACTATGCCCCCTTCAGCAAGTCACCCCAGCTAGCCAAATCCTTAGCTTCTCAACCCTCTCAGGTCAACAGGTAAATTCTCCCTACTGAACAGAGCTGTTCCAAAAGTCAAATGAGATACCAGGAGGAATTATTATCCCCTGCTGCAGCCGCATTGTGGAATGCTCTGATGAGTCCAAGAAAGTAGGGCTACAAGGTCTTCTGTGGCCACAGGAACTGAAGAAACAAGTAGGACACAGAGTGGCAGTTCAGGGCATGACCACCTCTACTCGCGCTAATGGAATGGCTATCCCAAGTGAGTAATAGCAGAATGAGTGCTTTCAACCAACTGGATGGATGAACCGATGCTCTCATAACCCCCGTGTGACTCTGAGCTTTCCTGTTCCACTTCCTCCCTGTCTTCCTCTACAGGCTCTCTTCCTCCTCAGCTCAGGCCTTCCACACTTTTTCTTGGCTTCCAGCCTCAGCTCACTGAAGAGTGATCTCAACCAATTTCATCGTTTTAATCATCACCTTTATATTGTTGACTCCAAAATGGGTATCTCTAGCCCAAAACACCTGAGTTTCAGATTTCTATATCCAGGCATGCACTGGAGACATCTCACTTTAGATACCCTACCAGGAGCTAAAACCCATCATGTCCACGATCTTAAAGATAGGATTTAGCTCTGACTGGTTATCATCCTCCTCTCCCAAAACTGCCTTCTCTTCCTTCCTGTATTTCCTATTCTAGTTGATTGTTCCATAATCCACCAATCCATCTTCACATCTCCAAGGCACAGCCCAGTGCCTGTCATGTAGTAGACACTCATTTGTTGAAAGAATGACTAAATGAATGAAAGAGTAAATGAATTTTCCCTTATCTGTGGCTTCACTTTGGCCTTTAGCTATAAAATACCTGGTGGCATCTCTGTCTTCAGACCTACAAAAGTGGCCAGCAAACTGAAACTTCTCAAAAATAATAGTGCCGTAAGAACTGCAGGGAAATCCATGCTAGCTCTCTGTACTAACCAATCGAATCCTTCATAGATAGAAATGGGTCTTTCCAAGAGTCCTCAGCTACTTGAAAAAAATCAACAGCCTGAGAAAGAAGAACCAAAACAAAGAGAGGAAGAAAAGGTAATTCTGGAAGGCAGAACAAAACTTAAAGAGTCAGAGACATGGAGAGGCTATGTCCCTTAATGTACAGCAAAAAGGCAAGGAGGAGGAATATGTGAGAGGAAAGTTAAGAGCCACAAGAAACAAGTACAGAACATGTTTAATACAGTGGAAAACAGTGTGGCACATGCCGCTGCTTAATATCCACTCTCCCTGTTGTCCTTCCTAAAAGACCCTAACTTTGTTTAGAGTGTCAATGTGTCCAACGTAAAAACTACACGTCCCAGCCTTCCTTAAAGGGGTGGGGATGGATGATATCACACAAGTGGCAGTCTGTTGGGGATTTCTGGGAAAGCTATACTTTCCTAATATAGGCTATGTCTTTTTCTCTTGGTTGTTTCCTTTTTCTCCCTGCCTGGAATGATGATGTGATCTTAGAGCTGCAGCAGATGCCTTGTGAACATGAAGAAAAAGCCTCAGCCATCCTTGGACCACCAAGTCAATGTTGACAACTACTCACCTGGATCAGTTTCGTGAGAAAAAATTAACCCCTAATTGATAAAGCCAATGTTTAGTCAGAATCTTTATTGCAGTTATAATCCCTAACTGATACAAAGGGATAATGGAGGAGAAGAAAAAAAAAATCAAAAAACTACTCAAAGAAAACTTCCCTGACCCAAAATAGGGTAAAGATCCTTACAGAAAAGCCAACTGAGGGTCTACAGATGAGGGGAAAAGAAACACTTCTAGACAACGATGACTGGTATTTCAGAACTCCAATGAAAAAATCCTCAAAGCTTCTAGAGAGGAAAGTGGAGTTATCAACAAGAATCAGACTGGTAAGAGACGGCCCGAAAACCAGGCAGCAATGTCTGCTAAGTTATGAGGCAACATGACTTTGATCTTATGCTTAGTTAAATCATCAATCAAATGTGAGGATAAAATAAAGACATTTTGGGCATGTAGGTATTCAGTAGCAATAACAAAAGACAGCCATATGACAAATGGAACCATTAGCATGTCACTAATAACAAAGAACTTCAAGTTCTCTACTTACCCAATCTTTCTGGTTAAGTTTAGCTGCTTCATTATATACTTCAATGGCAGCTTTATGTTTTCCCAAAAGAAATCTGTGGAAGAGATACACTTTCTTTAATTATTAACTCAAAGCTTTTACAGGACTAACTCCACTAGTCCCTCATTTGACTAATATTCTATCCAGACAAGAATTCTGGAAGCCTCTTCCCTATTAGCTAGCTGTGCTCTTTTGGCAAATGAGGCTGGCATATATCAATAACAGAAGCTCTTTTGGTAGGAGCTGCACTGATCGCTGTCCCAGGGTCTTGGTCTCACTCTACACCAATTTTAGTGAAAGTCTTCTGTAATTTATTTTCTGCAATGTACCACAAATGTAGAACAAAAAAGAAACAAGCTAAAATATATATACCAGTTAAGCAAGAGCTGCCAGCATTCATCATCACCATCTACTTAAGGGACAGCCCCTTCCCTTCCAAGACTAAATCTCTTGCCTTGATGTTGGATCACAGTTCTAAAAGAGAGGCAAGGGCAATCCAGGCCTCTATGCAAAGACAGTGCAAGTATGAACGACAGTAGGTAAGAAAGTGGGGATGGGAACTCCATGGACACTATGGCTCCAGAGTAGAAAAACTATCAGTGTACCTAACAGCGTATAAAGACTGGAGGTTGACTATATCCAGGAACTGTCAGGACATCCACTCAACAAACACGTACTAAAACTTACTATGTCAAGCATTATACTACGTGTTGGAACAGCAGATGAAAGAAATTTTACGGGTTGCCAGTAAGATTAGAGGACTGAGGGAACAAGATGTCACTATTTGTATGATAAACAGTATCAGTCTTTCCCCATCACACTACACTACACAATGTTTGAAATACTCATTGTTAACTCATTTTCTCAAATTTCAAAATCAATCCACTCTTCAAAGTGAATCCCATTGAGCAACTCTCCCTCTATATATCAGGCTGATCAGGCTGCCAGAAGGAGCCTCTGCCTGAGAATGCATTCTACAGTGTTCTCTGGAGTGCCCCAGGGCTTGCAGGCAGCAAATACTCACAAAGATCTGGCCACCTGCTTGAGGTTATCAGCACACTGAGGGCTGAGAACAGCACACGTCTGAAAGAGTTCTAGGGATTCTTGGATATTTCCTTCCAGGCGAAGTATTAATGCTGCCAAGAAACAGAAACACAGAAAAAATCATCACATTCTGGGGAGAACAGAGTCTGGTATCAGAAAAACTGGAGAAGAAGGAGTTAAGAAATCATACCAAAGAAATCCTTTGGGTAATTCTAACCTTAACACAATCAGATACAACCTCAGGTAGGCTGAAACAAGTAGCGAAGTTGTTAATGATCTAAAACTTTTTTAATAAGATAAACCGACCTACTCCATTCCCAGCATCTACCATGCAGATAACCACGTGCCTTGAAAATTATCCCACAAATTCTTCATAATAAGGACATTCCTGGGGCGCCTGGGTGGCTCAGTTGGTTAAGCGACTGCCTTCGGCTCAGGTCATGATCCTGGAGTCCCAGGATCGAGTCCCACATCGGGCTCCCTGCTCAGCAGGGAGTCTGCTTCTCCCTCTGACCCTCTTCCCTCTCATGCTCGCTATCTCTCATTCTCTCTCTCTTAAATAAATAAAATCTTTAAAAAAAAAAATAAGGACATTCCTGGGCTTCCCCATCAAATACTCTATTCATCATGATAATCCAGACTTCCAACTGCCTCCATCCAGCTGTTTCCAGAGTATACCCAAACAGGGAAAGTACAATCAAGGAGATTCTGGCTGCGAATGAACTAATATTTTGGACTTGGCTTTCAGTATAGCAACCAAACTGAATCAGTAATTTTTAGAAGAATTTACATGTTTAAGTATTATGAGGCACTGCGAGTCCGGAACTTATAATATTGGGAATAAAAAAAACATTTTTTTCTTTTTGCCGTGATATCCTAGATGTGTCAATATCTTACAAATTATGTCAGAAAATTGTATATTAATCTGAAGGCTACCAATCCATGAGTGGTAAACAAAACCATTCATTTACACCAAAGAATCAAAAGGAAAGTTCCTAGAAAAACTAAAGATGCTAAAGAGTTAAATTTCAGTCAGTGGTTCCTATATTTGGTTTATCCATAGATAAATTTCATCTATTCTCTGCTTTACCCTCTATACCTCTAGGTTTCTTCCCTTCATCCTAACACCCTTATAAAAAATCCTCAAGCCTTTCCTCATCTCTTTTAGCCTGACTACAAGAAGCCCTTCCAGGGCGCCTGGGTGGCTCAGTTGGTTAAGCGACTGCCTTCGGCTCAGGTCATGATCCTGGAGTCCCGGGATCGAGTCCCGCATCGGGCTCCCTGCTCGGCGGGGAGTCTGCTTCTCCCTCTGACCCTCTTCCCTCTCGTGCTCTCTATCTCTCATTCTCTCTCTCTCAAATAAATAAATAAAATCTTAAAAAAAAAAAAAAAGAAGCCCTTCCAGAAGCCCCTTCTGTACTTGAAGCTGCTGCCTGAGACAGGGACCCTAACATGCACTCTGAAAACACTAGCCAGACACTATAGAGAATGAGGGGGAAGGACAGCAGCAAATTTTTTTAATAGAATCTGTCATTTCTGACGTCAAATCCCACGCAAGAATTATGTTCTGATTTCAAACAACATAATACTGAGTAAGACCTTTGTAGAACATTCATAGGTAGTTTGCTCTTCTTTCAGAATCTAGGCAAAGTATTCATTTCTCTAGCAAGAAGAGAAGAAATACATGTCTTACCTTGGACATAGATAGCATATTCACATAAGCCCTGAGTCTCCTGAAGCTGCTCCTTGATAACAGCCTGAAAGAGGAAGAAAAATACTTCTGAGTAGTAGTTCGGAGTCTTTAAGTGTTTTTAAGAAAAGGTAGACATTGGCTGTGAGACAGGAGTCCATCAAAATCCTAGAGAAGAACACAGGCAGCAACCTCTTTGACCTCGGCCACAGCAACTTCTTGCTAGACACGTCTCCAAAGGCAAGGGAAACAAAAGCAAAAATGAACTATCGGGACTTCATCAGGATAAAAAGCTTTTGCACAGCAAAGGAAATAGTCGACAAAACTAAAAGGCAACCTATGGAATGGGAGAAGATATTTGCAAATGTCTTATCAGATAAAGTGCTGGTATCCAAAATCTATAAAGAACTTATCAAACTCAACACCCAAAACACAAAAAGTCTAGTCAAGAAACGGGCAAAAGACATGAACAGACATTTCTCGAAAAAAGACATCGAAATGGTCAACAGACACATGAAAAAATGCTCTACCTCACTCAGCATCAGGGAAATACAAATCAAAACCACAATGAGATACCAGCTCACACTGGTCAGAATGGTTAAAATTAACAACTCAGTAAACAACAGATGTTGGTTGGGGAACCCTCTTACACTGTTGGGAATGCAAACTGATGCAGCTACTGTGGGAGACAATATGGAGGTTCCTCAAAAAGTTACAAAATAGAGCTATCTATGACCCAGCAATTGCATTACAAGGTATTTACCCAAAGGATACAAATATAGTGATTCCAAGGGGCACCTGAACACCAATGTTTATAACAGCAGTCCACAATAGCCAAACTACGGAAAAAGCCCAGATGTTCACTGACAGATGAATGAATAAAGAAGATGTGGGTGGGTGGGTGGGTGGGTGTGTGTGTGTGTGTGTGTGTGTGTGTTTGTGTGTGTGTGTGTGTGTGTGTGTGTGTGTGTAGTGCTCAGTCATCAAAAAGAATGAAATCTTGCCATTTGCAACAATGTGGATGGAACTACAGGGTATTATGCTAAGCGAAATAAGTCAGAGAAAGACAAATACCATATGATTTCACTTATATGTGGAATTTAAGAAACAAAAAAGATGAGGCACATGGGTGGCTCAATCAGTTGGGTGTCTGCCTTCAGCTTAGGTCATGATCCCAGGGTCCTGGGATGGAGCCCCGCATCAGACTTCCTGCTCAGGGGGAAGTCTGCTTCTCCCTCATCCTCTGCCCCTCCCCACCACTCGTGCTCTCTCTCTCTCAAATAAATAAAATCTTAAAAAAATTAAAAAAAAAAAAAAGACAAACACAGGGGAAGGGAAGAAAAAATAAAATAAGATGAAAACAGAGAGGGAGGCAAACCATAAGAGACTCTTAACTAGGAAACAGAGGGTTGCTGGAGGGGAGCAAGGTGGGAGGATGGGGTAACTGGGTGATGGGCACTAAGGAGGGCTCTTAATGTAATGAGCATTGAGTGTTATATGCAATTGATGAATCACTAAATTCTACCCCTGAAACTAATAATACAGTATATGTTAACTAAATTGAATTTAAACTAAAAATTAAAAAAAAAAGAAAAGAAAAGGTAGACATGGGCAAGGAGCATATGTAAGAAATCTACAGAATACAAATAATTACTAATAATGTTTGTCTGGAATTTTTTTTAAATCTCAACTCTCTTGTGGTTACTTATTATAGAACAGGGGTTGGCAAACTATGGCCCACAGGCCAAATCTGAGCCTTACAGCCTGTTTTTGTAAAGCTCCCAAGCTAAGAGTAGTTTGCATATTTTTAAAGGGTTATAAAAAAATAAGAGAAGATGAGGAATATGAAACAGAGACTGTGGCCTACAAAGCCCAAAATATTTACCATCTGGCTCCTTACAGAAAAAGCTTGCCAACCCTTATCTAGAATCCAGGCAAGCTAAGGAAAATTATGAAAAGATTTCCAGGCATCATTGCAGATGCCAAGGGCTCTCTGATAGTGAAATACAGGCTCTACCTTCCTCCTGTGACAGGCTAAGCTCAGTATGAGATAGGAGTTCAGAGAACAAGCACCTGAGTCTAACTTAGAGACTCAAGGAAGGCTTTCTGGAATCAACAGTTTTAAAATCCTGTGTTGGCAGGGGTTGGAGGAGAAGCTGAGGTGGCTAAGAGTCAGGGAGAAAAGGTCTTCAATGCCATACTAAAAAAGTTGAGAGCAACGAGAGAATCTTGGTAAGTTTTAAGCAGGAAGTAACCTGATTCTACTTGCCTAATGAAAAGTCATTTTTAGAGAACTGCTGAAAACAGATGGAAAGGAGGCAAGACTGGTGTGAGAATCCTCACATTAATTTAAACAAAAATGAAAAATTAACTAAGGCCTGGAGAAAGAAAAAAGCGGACAATTTCAAGAGATAGTAGACAAGGCTCTCCAGAACGTAATGATTATCTATATTAGGGACAATGGGTCAGGGGATTCTGACACAGACAGATGGTTCCTATCCCTGCAATAGGGTACAAGAGAAGGAATAGGTTTGGAGGAAAGCACATAAATTCAGCTACACAAAAAGCTGAATGTGAAATGCCTGTGAAGCATCAGTAAGTATCAGCTTGGTCTGAAGACCAGGAGAAAATGTATGAAATGCACAGAGAAAAAATGGTCAAGGATAGGACCTAGGAACATCCCCAACTCTTAAGAAATAAAGGAGGAAGAGAAGTCAAAAATAGGAAACAGAAGAAGTTGTCAAAAAAGGAAAGGGGAAACAAGAAAAGGATCCTATCACAGCAGGAAAGAAACCTTTTAAGATTCATGCTGGTACTAAATATTGCTAGTTCTGTGTTGCCACAGGCACAAATACCACAGTTCAAAATTTAAAACCACAGCCTTAGAGGCATACAAAGTTCCAAATGTCAAAAAGAATATGAAGGATATATCTGGCATGTTAATACTACTGTCTGTCAGCAAATATGTATCAAAGATACAGTTTAGAGAAAAAGGAAATACAAAGTTTTTTTATTTTTATTTTTTTTATTTTTTTAAATATTTTATTTATTTATTTGAGAGAGAGAGAATGAGAGACAGAGAGCATGAGAGGGAAGAGGGTCAGAGGGAGAAGCAGACTCCCCGCCGAGCAGGGAGCCTGATGCAGGACTCGATCCCGGGACTCCAGGATCATGACCTGAGCCGAAGGCAGTCGCTTAACCAACTGAGCCACCCAGGCACCCCCAAAGTTTTTTTAAATATACAAATGATCAAGTTCACCATAATAAGACAATTAATGAAATTTCATTTTTCACCTATCCAGAGATCAAAAAATTAAATACTATGCTGTGTTGAACATTTGCCATCCACCAAGGACCAACAAGTCCCAGACAGCAACTGCTCCTTCACCCTGGTCTTAAAATGAGAAGACATGCAGGACACACCTGAACCTGACCCCCAGCCTATAGTCAGACCCAGCCAAGCCACAGCCAGTCCGAAAAACCATGGGCAACTGTCTGCTGTTGGAAGCCACTGAAATTTTGAGGTTGTTAAGCAGCATTATCATGGCAAAAGCTCCCAATACACAAAGTGTGTGGAAACAGGAACTCATACATTATTAGTGGGATTTAAACCGCCACAAATCTGTGTGACACACTCTGTAAGTTGCCTAACAAAGCCTGCCTCTCGTGGTCTCTATCATTATAATTGCTCACCTTGCATGCTTCATAATCCTTCCGGATATAGTGGAGATGTATCAACCAGTTCTGCTTCTCCAAAATCGGAAACTCTTGAGCTGGGCAGCATATTTTGACAAAACAAACAACATCGTCATTATTAGATTTTCTCCTTAAGCACTGTGCTCACATTTAACTACAAGCATACTGCAGTATCACATTAAATTCTTCATGCTGCTGCCCACAAGAATATCATACACCAAAAATGTATAGATTTTTAAACTAAGAGATATTTGTCCTATTACACACTGACTATATGCTTCTCCTCAGTTTTTGTGGCTTATCATGTCAGTTTCCCAGATCATAACTTGGCCTGAAAAAATAAAATCATTCTTTGTCTCTTCTTTCTCTCTCCCTGGTTCTTGAAGGTGAATAAGATGACTCTCTAAAGGATATTTCAGGAATATTACCAACAAAAAAATACATAACACAGTTAATGTCCCATCTGATAGATCAGAGGACCAAAAATAGTTAAACACAGTCCTAGCAATAGGAAGATAAAACATTATACTGCTACCCAGGAATGAGAAGGCGACAATGACAAAAAAAATCTATTGGAGTCACTGAAAATGATTTATGATAAACCACAAAATGAGTTACTATTCCTTTGAATTCAAAAGTTTAAAAATATGGGTAAAAATTCATTAAGAAATTACTTTTCTGTGGGGAAAAAAAAAAGAAAAGGGTTCACACCAACCTCAGAACAGTGGTGAGGAAGGGGAGAGAGGAAAATTAAAAAGGAGACTTCAGGGGCACATGTGTGGCTCAGGTGGTTAAGCATCCGACTCTTAATTCTGGCTCAGGTCATAATCTCAGGGTCGTGGGATCCAGCCCCACATGGGGTTCTGCACTAGGTGTGGAACCTGCCTAAGATTCTCCCTCTCCCTCTGCCACTCCACAGCCCCCTCTTAAAAAAGGGGGGGGGGAAAACTTTAGATCTTTAATGCTTTAATTTCTCAAAAAAATAAAAATCTCTAAATGATACGTGACTAAATGTTTTTATTTATTAAATCTGGCCAGTGAGTATATGGAGGTTCGTATTTTTTTATGCACTTTAATACATATTTGAAATATTCCCTTTTAAAAATGTAAAAGAAAGAATACAGCAGGAAACAAGATGGAAATGATTTCTAATTATTTGTAATCATTTGTTCCATAACCTTAAAAGATACATTAACAGAAACCTAAGACTTACAGGTCCATAAAATAATAGGAAGGAGAAAAAGCTTACTGTGACCCAGAGCCAGTGGAGCCAGAACACAATAGGGAAGATCAATGGAATTTATAAGATAAAATTATGAGAGAAACTATGGATATGGTTTTCTATGCCAGACGGAAGAAAAAAAAAAAAGGTAAAATGTTAAGCAATTGACTATCTTCCAATAAACCATTCTCTGAGTGGGACCACCCTTCTAGTCAGCAAGGGCGTATGTGAGGTTCTTTGATGACTTTTGTTTCCTTCCTTCTCTTTCCTCAAGCCCCACCAGTCATCAGATCTTAGCCATTCAGGTTCTCCCTGACCACCTCCAGAATTAAATTTCCTATTAAAGGCCATACAAATCACTAAGCTTAGAGGTGGGTGTGGGTATAGGGGTGAGTACGCACACCCGCACGCATGTAAAGTGGGTAAAGAAATACATTGTAAGTGTAGTGGGTTACTGAGTCATCTTGGGCCAAGTCTCATTTGTAGGGCCTACCGCTCTGTCACCTACCCTCTGAAGGGAAAGAGAAGGAGACAGTGAAACCTTTGAGTTTAAAATATCAGTAAGTATCACCACTTCTACAGCTTTAGGCTGTAGACGAAATTCATAAAATGCAAATCTGGGTTTTGCTACTATTAAAAACCTCACAATAAAAGATGAGTAATTTTTTGTTTCCTAGATGAAAAATGGAGGAAAAAATATTCAATTTGCAGGGCAGCTTAAGAGCCCAGAGGCTTATGAAAGGAAGACCTAGGGATTAAAAGAAGGGAAGGCATCATCAAATCCAAGCACTTAAAGGTCATTTCACACTCCTGGAGATATAGTTTATCTAAATGCTAAGAGAATTTTAGCTTCATCAAAGATTTTAGAAATCATTTCAATACCCCATAACTGTCCTATTATTGTATGATCTTGGGAAATGTATAATTAAAATAGAGACTTATTCATTCAACAAATATTCACTGAGCACCTACTATGTGCCAGGTATTGTTCTAGGTACTGAGGATACAAAAGTGAACAAAACTGACCTCCTGCCTTAAATCAGTAGGGACAGGGCTGGGGGGAAGTCAGAGAGTGCTAGCAGAAGGGATAGATGATAATAAAATTAAGTTATATATGAGTGGTATTTTTCTACAGAGACAAAGCAGAGAAGAGGGACAAGGAGTACAGGGTAAGGGCTTACACTTTTAAATAGGAAAGTCAAGGAATAAAATACCCTCACAGAGTTGGGAGGACTGAATGACAATATATATAAAGAGGTTCAATTTCTGGCACATGGTAAGTCCTAGAAGTGTAGCTGTTGTTACTGTTGTTTTTATTATCTGTATTATTTATTTTTCAAAGATGAGGGAATTCTGGATGCCTTAGAGTCTATAAATCTTGAGTCTATAATTAGAATTTACCTGTAAATGTGTAAATTGAATTTCTTGTATTCCAAATCATTGCTCACTCCAATTCCCTACAAACAGGGGTACTGGTTCTTACATGCTTTCACAAGTATTATGAGAATTACCTACACGAAAGATCCTCTAAAAAAAGGCCTATTAGTAAAGGCAAAGTAGAGCCTCCTCTATTTTACAGCAGAGAAAGGTGGTCATCTCTGATGCTACACTTCAGGAGCCTCTTATTACCACAGAGATCAGGTGGCCAGCTGATGAGACGAAGCAAGGTGATGCCTTTCAGCTGTTGTACAAATACCTCGTCCGTATCTCCAGTCCCCACACTGCCCCTCCACCATCACCGAGGCGGTACAGGTGAAAGGCTGGCAGCCTGGCAACCATACTCCCTTGGCCCTTCTCTTCTCCTGACCCATTCTACTCGTTTGTGACATCTCTCCTCTTTCCCCCTCTAAGGGTGCACCACGCTTCTATGTAACAATTACATAACCAAACAAACATGACAATTGCAAGAATTCTCCCTTGTAATTTGCCCTAAGTGCCAAATTCTCTTAGTAATGGCCCTAACTCAAATTTTATATTACACTTTGATTAATGCTAGGAAATATACATCCTGGATATATGAAGGCTGAGCAGAAAATTATTGTGCTTTGAATTTTCAGTTGAAAAATTTTCTAAAATGACTAACACTTTTGTAAGTATATTATAAATGAAGCCTTTTTTGGTAAAGGATCTCTTCCAGGATGAGCACATGGCACATGGTTTTTGTATGTAGAATTCCCATCCTGATTCAGTACCAGCCTTCTCGGGACCTACACCAAATTATTTAACTTCTCTGGGACTCCATTTTTCCCTCAGTAATTTTCAGTGGAGGGCGCCTGGCTGGCTCAGTCCATTAAGGTTCTTCCTTGGGCTCAGGCCATGACCCCAGGGTCCCGGTATTGAGCCCGCACCAGGCTCCCTGTCTGCCTTTCCCTCTACCCCTCCCCACTGCTTGTGATCTCTCTCTCTCAAGTAAATAAGCAAAATCTTTATTTTTTTGTAAGATTGTTTTAAATTTTATTTGAGAGAGAGAGAGTGAGAGAGAGAGAGCACAAGAGGGGGTAGGGTCAGAGGGAGAAGCAGACTCCCTGATGAGCAGGGAGCCAGATGTGGGACTCGATCCCGGGACTCCGGGATCATGACCTGAGCCGAAGGCAGTCGCTTAACCAACTGAGCCACCCAGGCGCCCCAGCAAAATCTTTAAAAAATAATTTTCAGTGGAAAATTATGAAAAATCTGAAAGTGGCCATTCAATAAATGCTAATTTCCTCCTATTATAATAGGACTTATAACACCTTTCTACCTCCATATATTATTTGGGACATTGAAAGATACAACAAATCTCCTGAGGCGAGGGAAACAAAAGTAAAAATAAACTACTGAGACTATACCAAAATAAAAAGTTTCTGGACAGCAAAGGAAATCAACAAAACTAAAAGACATGACAACCTACTGAATGGGAGAAGATATTTGTAAATGACATATCTGGTAAGGGGTTAGTATCCAAAATACATAAAGACCTTATACAACTCAACACCCCAAAAATAACACAATTTAAAAATGGGCAGAAGACATGAACAGACATTTTTCCAAAGAAGACATACAGATGGCTAACAGATATATGAAAAGATGCTTAACCTCACTCAACATCAGGTAAATGCAAATCAAAACCACAATGAGCTATCACCTCACACCTGTAAGAATCAACAACACAAGAAGCAACAAGTGTTGGTGAAGATGTGGAAAAACAGGAACCCTTGTGCACTGTTGGTAGGAATGCAAACGTGCAGCCACTGTGGAAGACAGTATGGAGATTCCTCAAAAAATTAAAAATAGAATTACCATATGATCTAATAATTCCACTACTAGGTATTTACCCCCCAAAATACAGAAACACTAATTCAAAAAGATACATGCACCCCTATGTTTATTGCAGTATTTATAAGAACAGTTTTTTTTTAAGATTTTATTTATTTATTTGACAGAAAGAGACACAGCGAGAGCAGGAACACAAGCAGTGGGAGTGGGAGAGGGAGAAGTAGGCCTCCCGCCAAGCAGGGAGCCCGATGCGGGGCTCGATCCCAGGACCCTGGGATCATGACCTGAGCCGAAGGCAGACGCTTAACAACTGAGCCACCCAGGCGCCCTATTGCAGTATTTAAAATAACCAAATTATGGAAGCAGCCCAAGTGTCCATCAATAAATGGATGAAGATGTGGTATGTGTATGTGTGTGTGTGTGTGTGTATGTGTGTATACATACACACACACATATATATGATCGAATATTACTCAGCCATAAAAAAGAATGAACTCTTGCCATTTGCAGCAACATGGATGGATCTATAAAGTATGATGCTAAGTGAAATAAGTCATTCAGAAAAAAACAAATACCATATGATTTCACTCATATGAGGAA